GACACAGATGTGACTCTGAAACAAGTGCAGAGAGGCACTTGCTGCAGGGACACTTTCATTTCAATTCACCATTAGCCAGCAGCTCCCTTCCAGCCTCAGATTCCTAATTAAACACGATTCCTGCATGTCCTCAACATTGCCAGGGACAAGGATGTGACCAAGCCCCTCACAAATGGCCAGAAGACATCAGTGCTTCACCAAAGCAATGCTGGGGAGCTGTGGCTGGCTGCTCCTCAGTCAGCACAAGATTATTTTATTTAAATTAACACTAGACTAGAAGGAAATGCCCCTCAAACACCCAGTGTGAACATGCTACATTCACACAGGAGAGATCAGCTCCTTTTCCAACATGAACCCACACTCTGGGGTCATTTTGTTCCTAGAACAAGACTCTTTTCTCAGTGCCAGGAGTTTCCATTTTAATGTGTCCTGTGGTTTTCTGCTGGTTTGCTGTTGTGGCCAAACATTTATATTTGGATTCTCCCTCATTTGTGCCAATTAGATTAGAAGCAATAGGAAGGACTTTCCTTGACTATTTTTTGGGGGTCATTTTTTATTATTTTTTAATGAGACACACTCAAAGCAGAAACCAAGCATACTATGAACTGTAATGTTAAAGTTTAAAACCAGAGGAGTGTTCCCCAACAGGAATTTCCCAGCCCCAGGCTCTGCAGAGGGACATTTTCCATGTCCTGCTTCAAGCAGCTGCTGTCCCTGACTCTCTCTGTCCCATCCCATGGGTTTTGGTACCCTGGGGGAGCTGCATTCCTGACTCTCCATTTGTGCCAGTGATCGATGAGCAAATGGACAACACGAGTGTGCACATCTAACGTGACAGAGCAACCCCTGGCCCAACTGAGAGGCTCAGAAACAGATAAAAATAATTCAAACATCGTTTTTAGCTCATAAATTCAGATCTTGTTCTTTGCTTCAGACCTTTGCAATGGGTATGACCAGTGAAAGTGGTGTATTTTTAGCATACAGCAGCTCTGCTGCCAAAATCAACAACAGCTCTGTTTGCTGGAAAATGGGGCAGTTTTCATTCTGAGATTTCTCATTACACCATCAAGCAGTTCAAAGGATTTTACAGTTTTCTCCAAGGCCAAATTCCTGAATTCATGGGATTCCACGAGAATGTTGGCTTCCCCATTCTCACATCAAAATATAGATGAGTAAAGCTGAAAGTGAGCTGCCTGCGGGTTAGGCACTGAGAGATCCTTGGGGTTTATATCCTCGGCAGCATGAGGTTTTTAAAATTAATTTAATTTGAGGGAGAATAAAGGGGAAAAAGGCTAACTGGTCATTATTGAAAGTGCAGGAATGGCAAGAGATAGCTCTAGGAATTCTTGGTCACATTTAATACCAAACAAAACCTCCCTTTTTTGGAAGTTTGATCTGTGGGAACCCCAGACCTTCACTACCCTGACCCAAGCACCTTGGTCACAAAAATAACCCCAAATCCCTTCAGAACTGTGGCTGGGTTGAATTAACCTGGAAATGGGCAATGGGATGTAGGGATGTAATTGTAAAAGGGGACGATTTGCCTTGGAACCTGTATAGGCCACATTGCCCTGTGAAAGCAGGAGCAATTTGGGGGACATTAGGAACTCCATGGCAGCAGGAGCTGCTTGAAAACACACACTTTGGAGTTCCCTTGCTACAGGGATTAATTAAGCAACCTGAAGAATTTTATGAAGAATTTCTTCCTATTTTCACCCTGTGCATTTGTACCAAATCCTGGCTGAATTTACCCTTCCTCACGCCGACGTTGACAGCCACCTTCAACATCACGGTTTGTATTTTCGGGTTTTTTTTCTCCGCTTGGCCTCTGAACCGCGTTGTTTTCCACCACCGCACTAAAGTTCACACAACCTGAGGGGAAAAGCCTCTCCTGAAGGCTTTGGGGTGGAAATGGGGCATTTCGGGTGGGAGCAGAAGCTGTTTTGGGGATGGAAATGAGACTTTGGGGGCAGCTTCTCCCTCAGCACCGCCGTGAGGGGCCTCAGGGGCCGTGGGCGGGGCGCGGCGCGCGCGGGTGGCGGGAAGGCGGAGGGGCGGAACTGCGGCAAATCTCAGCCAATCAGCGGCGGGGTCGCGGCTCGGCCCCTGCTGGCCGCAGCCGGGGAGCCCCGTGGGTCGCGATTTCCCGCGCTCGGGGGCCCGCGCGCCCCCTCAGGAGGGTGCCCGGGTTGGGGGAATGGCGGCCGAGCCCTGAGGAAGGAAAAGGAGGGGAAAGAGCACCAGTGGGAGGGGGAGATAAGGGCCGGGGAGGGAGCAAGAAGGGGCACAACAAGACAAAAGCCCCGGGAGGAGAAGGAGGAAGAGGAAGGAGCAGGATGGAGGAAGCCGCCCGCCGGCACGGCTTCCCCTCACTGCAACAAAATGGAGGGCGGGGGGGCTGCGCAGGGCAAGGGCGCTGCTGGACCGCGGGTAGCGGCCGCATCCCTCGGTCCCTGCCCAATTCCATCTCGAGACTCCGGGAGCGACAGGTGCCTGTCGTTGTATAAAGCAGAGGTTGGGGCAGGGAGAGCCGGTTCTACATCATGAGGAGCTGAGGAACCCAGCAGCCACACAGGTTTTTCCTGGCTTTGAATGTGCCCACACACCTCTGGAGCTTTGTCCTTTGCCATCAAAGTACTGCGTGACAGCCTGGTTTTACTTCACCTACCTGCAGCCCCAAAAGATGGATTTAATTTGTTTAAAGTCATCCCAAAACTTAGGTTCTGTTTGGCCCCAGATCCAGTGGGAAATGGGTGCAGAGGGTAGAGACGTGGGGCTTCAGCTGGAACAGCAATTCTTCTCCACCCTTTAAAACTAAATAAAATATCCCAGAAAGTCACCACCCATTTCTTGCCTAATTGCTCATCCAGCAGCAGAAAAGCCTGTTTGCCAAGGGCTTTCTCAAGTGCATCCAAGGGATTTTTGCCAGGAATGCTGGACTAATCCCAAGATAAAACAATGCTTTCTCTAGCTCGGGAGGAGCAGCAGGGTTTTTTTTTTAAACATTGTTCTTGTGTGTGGAATATTTCAGCACTAGACTTGGCTCAGGCTGCTGGGCACAAGGCAGGACCTGTTCAAAGAAAATCTCAGGACTCACCCAGACTCTGATTCTATGACATCTGTGTTAAACTCACCTGGAAACACTCAGGGAACCATTCAGGTTTTCCAGAACTTCCTTTCTCGACTATTCCAATGTTACCAAGGACTCAAGTACCACAAATCCAAATTCCACCCCCACAAACACACACCATTCTGCAGATTTCCACAACCAGAAAGAAAATTCCCTTACTCCATTCCTTCCCACAGGTGGACATACCCCGAGAAGTAATCCAATACAATAGTCTCAATTTATTTGAAATAACTCGGTTTGAAAACTTTTTAATTTAAAATTTACAGCACACATGGGGAGGAAACATGTTTTGTTACAACTAAAAGTTACCAGAAGAGTGCTGCAGGGCTGTTGTCTTTAATTTAACACTGTCATGGCTTTATTCAAAACACAGTTGCACAAAATCAGTTACTCCAAAGTTTCAGGAAAGAGTCGGAGAAGGAACCAAACCACACTATATACAGACTGCCATACAAAGAGCATTAAAATAGGACAAAACCTCTACAAAATATAAAACCCACCCTGACGTATTTGCATGAAAAGACCACCCACCAAGCAAAAAAGTTTCAAAAGTTATCTGGAGGCTCTGAATTCCTCGTTAAAAAACGCTGTTGCTGCATGCCGAGCGGAGGACACGGGACCGGGGACGGTGACACTGGGACAGATTCTGGGGTTCGTGAGGGGCTCAGGTTCCACGTGGTGGAACTGTGGCTGTTTGGGGAGTGGGAAGTCTGGCCTAGGGAAGGGCTGTCACCCCTCAGAGCTCTGGTCTTGCTTACCCAAACAAGCCCACTACCCACATTATTTTAATCCATCAAAATAGACTCTTTTTTTTTCTTCTTCTTCTTCCATTTAAAACTAATTTTATCTGCATCAGTAACAGTTAAGTAAAACCCTGACATGGAGGTGCTCTAACATACACACTTATAAATAACAAGTTTCAATCTAAGGACAAGAAGCAAAAGGATGGGAAAAAACCATTTTTTTCTCTCAAAGCTGAGCACGGAGTGAGTGCCTTGCCCAGAGCCTTCAGGACATGACAACCATGCACTGACCCAGCCAGGACTCATCACAAACACAGCACTTGGTTGTGGCTGCAAAGGAAGTTTCACCACAGCTTTTCCAGTGTCTTTAGAGATATCCTTTCAAAAGCACAAAGCCCAAGGAGTCAGTTGTTCCCCAGTGCACCACCAGACTCTGCTTTTGAGGCTGGGAAGGTTCAGGAAAAACCCAGAGTTAAGGCTCTAGTTGTGAGGGGGAATAAAACCACACACACAGGGAGTGAGTGGGGCTTTGCAGAACTTCAACCCTGCATGATCTAAACTCCACCCAAGAGCTGGAGGTCACACTGAAATTCCTACAGGAACATCCCACAGGGAACCAGGTGATGAGGGACTGACTCTCTTAGACCCAGGAATTTCCCACCTGCAGGCTCTCCCCAGTTTCTGGCAGCCAGGACAGATACAAAAATAAGTTTCTGCAATAAAGCTGTGTGTGATATTTGGTTCAGGACCTGTGTGAGACTGATGTCAGTCAGTGTGACACCACCACTGCTGTGTGAGACCCAGGTCACGCCTGAAGGAGGAATGCTGAAGTGAAAATTTGTTTCCAACAGGAAAGGATGATAGACTGGGGCAGATTAGGGATTATAAAGGCTGCTATTAGGAATTATAAAAGCCTCTCTGCACATCCCTCATGCTCTCTCTGCAGCCACTCAATATAAACCCCCAAATGTTCCCAACTGTTACACACAAATTGAGTGTTTTACAGCCAGATTTAAACAGCTGAAGAGGTGAAATGCAGAGAAAGGCCAACCTGGGTTCAATTCTTCCCTTCAACAGTTCTAGAAAAGCTGGGGGGTGGAAAACAACACGTTTGGAGGAGCTACCCGTTCACTTCTGCATCAGAAATGCATATTTCATCTATTTTATACATTTTATAGCCATGAGTGGTGCAGAATTCCCAGAATGACAATGCAAGAGCAAAGTGAGTGAAAGTTTAACAAAGATTTCTGGCAAAAAGGTTTAAAACTACACATTAATTGCTTTGTTAATACCTGCAGTGACAACGGACTTGGGGGAAATTTATGGATTGCAACCCTGTAAGGATCACAATTCTTTCAGTTTGCCAAAATACACTCTTGAAGGAATCTAGTGAATACTCCAAACACTGAACATTGGAGCAAGCAGGAAAACAAAAACATCTTCTGAAACCCACTGAAGCTTTACCCTGGAATACCCAAAATAGAGAGGAGCCTTCAAAAAAAAAGAAAAAAAAATAAAAATCACAGGAGTCACCTTTTAAAAAACTGAAACATGGGTGTCATCTAGTTAGGGGTTTCCAGTTGAATCCATGGAAAACTTGGCCTAGAGTCAACTGATTTAACACAGAGTGGGGAATTCACTGTAGAGCACTTTTCAGTTCAGCTTTTTAAGCATAAAAACTTGAAAATCCTGAATGAAAACTCCCAATATTACACCCATGGGACATGGGGTTGGATTCAGGGCTAACAATGACCAACACAGCAAGACTGTACGAAATGAAAGAGCTCCAAAGAAAAGTCTGGTGGGGGGAATTTGCCAATGGCTTCAGTGATTATAGGGCTGAAAATTGTTCTCTACAGAAGGTTCCCTACGGGCTATCAGAGCTTATCTGGAATGATAAAAGGGGCAGGAATAGTAAAACCACACTTCTGCTATAAAAAGTTAACACAGGATTCCTGTCAGGACATCTATGGTACATGGACATACAGAGCTGCATAATCACTATTGCGTCTTCCTCAACTGGAGAGTCTGGTCCTGCAAGTTAATCCTCCTCTTCCTCGCCTTCATCCTCGGGCTCTCGTTTCCTCTTCTCCCCTCGGACTCCCTCTGCTAAGGAGAGAGGGACACACACAGCCCATGATGGTCTGTCCGTGGAGAACAGGAGGGGAGGGGAATGGGGAGAGTGTGGGGTGCAGGGGTGTTCCTGATGGGACATTCCAGCCCAGGATCCTGCACAAAATCCCAGCCCAGGATCCTGCAAAACATCCCTGGGATTTCTGTGGCAAAGGGCCAGAACATCCTGGAGAACATCCTGAGATCCATCCCAGGATCCTGCAAAACATCCCTGGGATTTCTGTGGCAAAGGGCCAGAACATCCCAGCCCAGGATCCTGCAGAACATCCCTGGATTTTCTGTGGCAAAGGGACAGAACATTCCAGTCCAGGATCCTGCAGGACATCCATGGGATTTCTGTGGCAAAGGGACAGAACATCCCAGCCCAGGATCCTGTAGAATATCCCTGGGATTTCTGTGCCAAAGAACCAGAAGATCTCAGCCCAGGATCCTGCACAAGATCCCTGAATTTTCTGTGGCAAAGAGCTGGATTTGGGTGCTGTGCTGTGGACTATTCCAGTCCAGGATCCTGCACAAAATCCCTGGGATTTCTGTGCCAAAAAGCCAGAAGATCCCAGCCCGGGATTCTGCAAAACATCCCTGGGATTTCTGTGGCAAAGGGCCAGAACATCCCAGCCCAGGATCCTGCACAAAATCCCTGAATTTTCTATGACAAAGGGCTGGATTTGGGTGCTGTGCTGTGGAATATTCCAGCCCAGGATCCGGCAGAACATCCCTGGATTTCTGTGGCAAAAAGCTAGAAGATCCCAGCCCAGGATCCTGCAGAATATCCCTGGATTTTCTGTGGCAAAGGGACAGAACATCACAGCCAGGATCTTGCACAAGATCCCTGAACTTTCTGTGGCAAAGGGCTGGATTTGGGTGCTGTGCTGTGGAATATTCGAGTCCAGGATCCTGCACAACATCCCTGGGATTTCTGTGACCAAGGGCCAGAACATCCCAGCCAGGATCCTGCACAACAACCCAGACTGGGATCCTACAAAATATCCCTGGATTTTCTGTGCTAAAAGGCCAGAAGATTCCAGCCCAGGATTCTGCAGAACATCCCTGGTTTTTCAGTGCCCAAGGGCTGGATTTGGGTCGTGTGCTGAGGAACATCCCTGTTTTTCAGTGCCCAAGGGCTGGATTTAGGTTCTGTGCTGTGGAATACCCCTGTTTTTCAGTGCCCAAGGGCTGATTTGGGTGCTGTGCTGTGGAATATCTCTGTTTTTAAGTGCCCAAGGGCTGATTTGGGTGCTGTGCTATGGAACATCCCTGTTTTTCAGTGCCCAAGGGCTGATTTGGGTGCTTGCTGTGCTCTCTGCTGGTGGGAGCCTGCAGTGCAATGCTGCCCCAGCCAGTCCAGTGGCCCATCCTGACTCCAGGATTTGTACAAAGTGAAGAATTCACACTGCTCCTTCAGAAATATTGGTTTTGCAAGTGGAAAATCCAGCTCCCAAACCTGCTCCAGTGAGCCCGGTATGTGGAGGAGATGGGAGCTCAGCTGGGGAGAAATTCTGGGAATTGTCTTTAGAAAGATGTGGAATTTTTAATGAAAAAACTTATTAAAAATACTCCAGTAAGCCACTTCTTGCAAACAGAACTTTGTCCCAGAATTGCTTCTGGAGAAGCTGGATAAAGGGAAAGCTCCAGCTGCTCCTGGCTGCCAGAGGAGACTCTGGTGCACTTGAGGGATATTTTCAATGTCTGTAAGTAACAAGATGCACAGCAGAGCCCCACTCCTCTCCACATCAAAGAACAATTTCCAACTGCACAGCAGACAGTGCCTTTCCTTTCAGAAAACTCTTGTTTCTTCCTCACTTTAATTTTGTTTTTGTGTTAATGTGCATGCCCTAAACACACAAAGAATTATAGAGAATTGATTGTTTCAGTCACAACTTCAATCCTTGAGCACTCACCTTCTTCTTCCTCATCACCTCCTTCAACATAGTCATCATCATCCTCTTCATCCTGTACAAAAATTGGGAGATATTTTTACAATTGCTGTTTATTGAAGTCTTGTTTCCACAATGATCCCAAGCAGAAATCCAGGAATTCCCTGCAATTTCCCCACCAGGGCATCAGTCAGCCCTAGAGACTCATTTATTTGCTTTTCCCCACTGATCATTTCTTTAAACCAGCTCAAGGTTATTGAAAAATTAACTGTGAGAGAGATGCCAGCAGCTCTAGATTGCCTTTGAACCCACAGTAAGGGCCTGGAGGAAAAGGTGCAAACCTCTGTGAAAACAAGTGAGTTTTTGTGGGGTTTTTGTCTCGTTTTAAAGCTGATAGATGAGGAATGTAAATGAATTAACAATCAGCTCCAGAGAATTCAACAAACCCAAGTCTTGTTTTTATATCCCTGTGCTTGGTGGAATTTTGCACACAGGGGAGTGTGACAAATCAAAATGGGGAAATAAACCTCTGATAGTGGCTTTTGGAATATTGCAATTAAACTCACCCTACACGAACACCCTGGCAGGAAATAAACTCTTATCAAAGAACCAACCACAGGACCCCAAATCCCCTTCAATCCCAAATGGGGGGGCTGCTCTGGGGCACAAACCCCACCCCAGGCATGTTCCCTGCAGGAGGGGAGGACCTGAGCAGGACCCAGGGCTTCATTGCTGTCCTGTAATTTGTGTGATCAGTTTATAGCTGCAAGAACTCCACTCATCACCTCCTGAAAGCTGTTTTCTGTTCTCTGGGAACTGTACCAGAAGTGTTTTCTGTAACCACAGAACCCCACAGGAGCTTCTCTTTGCTCCCTGCTCTTGGCAGGATTTACAAACTTTACCTGAATTTCTTCTTTCATCAGGTATGAAAGACCAACTTCCTCCTCCTCTTCACCTTCGCCCAAATCTGAAGCTCCATCATCTTCATCATCATCTTCTTCATATTCTCCTGGAGGCCCAGCTTCATTCTCATCATCATCATCATCTTCATCCCCCTCTGCAGTGAAGGACAAACATTTAAGACCAGAAATTCAGTTCCATTCTCTCCTCTCTGAGTACAGCAGGCTGGGCTTGCCCTAATAGCTTTTCTCCTGATGGATTTGGGGATTTTTATTTTTTTTTGTATATCCAGGTAACACACAGGAAATTACCATGATTGTAACCAAGTTAAATTTTGTCATTTTTTCTCAAATAAAGACTCTCAGGGTTTTTCCATCACAAGCTTCAGGCAAAACTTTTGATGTCTGAAGCAGCTGCAAATACAAAATCCTGCCAGCCCTAAGAGCTCCCTTAAGGGCTGCAACCAAGCTGGGACCAAAAGGAACTAGGTGTGCTTTTGGAGCTAAAATTTGTATTATACTGAAGCAGGGGCCTGAAACCATTACAAAACCCTGTAAAATTGTAATTTTCTATTCAAAACAGTGTGCATATCCCCTTGCTCTGTATCACTCAGTGGCACAAAGGGCTTTACTGCTGGCAACAAGAACATTTGTGTCTTTGCAAAAGTATCTTTAGTCCAATTCCCTCAGTTTGGTTTCAGGAAATTACCATCATCATCATCTTCTGAGTCTGGTGCCTCGTTGTCCTCCTGATCAAACCCATCCAGGTATGTGATCTGCTGGAGCAGCTCAAAGATGCTGTCCCTGTAGTCCTCAAGGTTTGTAATCTCACAGTTGAACAGGTCAAGACTCTTCAAATTCTTCAGATTTTGCTGAAAATAAATGAAAATGTTTGGGTTTTTTCCCCATGGTGCTCTCAGATACAGCAGGGTGACAACCCAAAAATAACAGAATTTACTTTGTATCCTCATGTCTCATTTCTAATTAGAATTTTCTCCCTCAAATTCAGTCCAAGTTGCTGGTAGCAGCCAAATCCCCACCAAAGGCACTTGTGTGGAATAACTCCCAACCTTGGGGGTTGGGTTATGTGTGCAGAGCCCAGTTTTGGACAGGATCATCCACAAAAATGGGTGAATGGATCACCAGTGGCAGCTCCCTCCTCTTCCTCCCTGTATCACACCTGTGTCTGAGTCGCTTCACATTTTAATGAAAACTCAGCAGACAAACAGACCTTAACCAACAAGCACAGGGAAATCAGCATCACACCTTGGCCACTTTTCCTTCAAAGACAAACCAAGCCCAACCATCTCTGATTTTGGACATCCCATCCCATTTTCCAGCACTGGGGTTCCACATGCTGTCCTATAACCATGGCACTGAGTCTATCAACCACGAGATTTTATCAATCCATTGCAAAAATATTAAGTGTTCTTGACAAAAATAGTATTTATTACATCTCCCCAAAGCCCCTCTCACTTCATACTCACAAGAGCTTCCACAGTGCCAAGATCTTTGATTTTGTTGCCACTTAGATTTAGATATGTGAGATTAGGACATCTCTCTGCAAGGACCTCCAGGCCTCCAGAAATGACGTTGTCACTCAACTCCAGCTATTGGACAGGAAAAAAAGGAATTAACAAATAGATTTTCAGCCTCAGAATCAGCTGCATCATTGTTAATTGTTCTCCCTTTTAAGAATGTAATCACTTTTGGAGACTCATCCAAGGTAATAAGTTTTAGCTGTCAAAAAGTTCTTTTAAGTTGAAAATTATAAACTGTTCCTCTAAGTCTCATGGGTTTGGGCACCTCAGTTTTAAGTTATCTGGACTGGAGTTCACTGGGTGACCCAAGAGCCTCCTACCAAGGCACAGCTGTATTTTCACATCATCCAAGCAGTTATTGCCTCAGGAATCACTGACCAAAAACCAAACCCAGCTCACCATAATTTAACTGGAAACACCCAAAACAATTTAAATTCTTAAAAACACATTTTAGATGCCCACGAAGCACCTTCAGCACCACAGGAGTGCAACCATGAGCACTGCAAGGTGCAACCATGGCTGTGCCACCCAAAGGCACCAACCTTCCGGAGCTTGCTCAGCGTGGGCAGCTTGGCCAGGGATGTCAGCTCAACGTTGGCCATGCTGAGGAACTGGAGCTCCTTGAATGAGTCATTGAGCCCTTCGATCTCGCCGTTGCTGGAGCGGCAGTTATCGAGCACCAACTCTGTCACCTGCAATCAGGGCACACGTGGGAGTCACAGCAGCAAATTCACCCAAACCCACCCCAGGGACTGAAATTCACCCAAACCCACCCCAGGGACAGGGCAGTGCCTGCAGGTTTGGGGTTTCATCTAAAATCAGAGCGGATTTCTGCCCTGAAATCATCAGCATTCACCTAATTTAAAAATTATTTCCTGTTCTCTAAGCATGCATTAAACTTTGCAAAAAGGGCCACCTGACCCCAAAACTCCATCGTACAGCTCCCCACAGAAGCACTGCAGCCAACCAACTGCTGACTTCTCCTCATCATTTAACTGTGCATAACCAAACTCATAAAACCAGTTTCTCTCTGAACCTAAAACCTTCTGCCTCCAGATTATTTTACCAGAGAGTCCTAGAGGTTAATGGAGCCCCAAATAAATAATTTCCTTAATAATCAATACAGGTCGCGTACTTGGAGAAGCAGCAACAAGAAGCAGCCAATTAATTTTAAATTATTTTACCTAGAGTGGAATATCCACTTGGCAAAGGACAGGCACAAGGTGACTTTTCCATGCACACTAACAAAATTTTGGGAGTGCTGCCGACCCCTAGCACCACGAGGCCAGCTTCCCACTTCTACTTCATTTTTTCATTAAAAGACGCCCATTATTCCACACAGACACCAAATTTTAAGGCAAGCTGCCGGGAGGAGAGGGAGGATCCCAGCTCCATCCCCAGCTGACGAAGCCTCTCCGAGTACCTGCCACCCCAAACACCACCGGGCGCGTTAAACCAACACTTTCGGGCAGTTTTTTTCCCCAAAAAAACCCCACGTGCGGCGGGTCAGGGACAGCGAAAGTCTCCGGACTTTACTCCTGGGGAGAACCGGGCGCGGGTTTGTTCATGAGCGGAGCGGGGAGCGATGCTCGGGAGCCCCGGGAGGCGGCGGGGGCAGCGCGGGGCCCGGCGCGCACGTGCGCTCCCGCCTCGCCAGCGGCTCGAGGCTTTTTTAAAAAATATTTTTATTTTTTTGGGCTCTTTTCTAAGAAATTGAAAGTTGGACGCGCGGGGAGGGGGAAGCGGGAGGGGTACGGGGACCCCCGACGGGGCGGCGGGCGCGGGAAAGAACGTTAATTATACTAATTAAAGGCGCCGGGATGAGCGGCGGGCCGCGGCCGGGGCCGCCGCCGTGACCTGTTTACTGCGGCCGGGGGAAGCGGCGGATTAACGTCGGGGGAAGCCGAGGCCGCCGCGCCCCCCGGGAACTTCGGGGCACCCCGAGAGAGGAGGCGGAGGGGGAATGAGGGGGGGCCGCGGGTCCCGGGGCCGCGCCGGAAGCGCCGCCCGCGCCCCGCCGGGCCCTGCGCCACGGCTGACCCAGATTCGGCAGCGGTGCCGCCGGGCCTGCGCGGCCCGAGGCGGCAGCGACGGCCCCACGGGGCGGGGGGAGCGCGCCCCGCCGGCCCCGCCGCCCCTCACCTTCTCGGGGGCCCGGTTCCGCAACTCCAGGTTGATGCGCTTCTTCATCTCCATTGCCCCCCCTCCCGCGGTTCCGCACTGGCGAGGGAGGGTGGCCTAGAGCGGCCGCGAGGGTCGCTGCGGCTGCGGCGGGCGCCGGGAGCGCGCCGGGAGTGGGTCGGGGGTCGCCGGGGCCGCCCCGGCCGCGCCGCTCCGCAGCAGCTCCGGCACCGTCAATGGCCGCCCGCACACTGCGCCTCCATGACACGGCGCATGGCGCCCCCCCCCGGCCACGCCCCGCCCCGGGGCGGGGCTTCCCAGAGCCGCGCCGCCATTGGTGCGGGGGGCGCCGCGCTATTGGCCGAGTGAGCTGCCTGTCAGGACGTGCGGGGGCGGGGTTTGTGCTCGCGCGCGGAGGCCGGCGGGTGCGCGCGCCCTGAGCGGGAGGGGCGGGGCCGGGGCCGGGGGCGGCCCTAAGGGGGCGGGGCTGGGGCGGGGGCCGCGGCTCTGGGGTGGGCGGGAGTCGTGGGTCGCGGTTCTGTGGGGGTCGCACCGAGCTGGGGGTCGAGATTCTCAGGGGGTCACGGCTCTGAGGGGATTGCGGCTTTGAGGGGGTCGAGGTTCTGAGGGGGTCGCGGCTCTGGGGTGGGCGGGGGTCGGGGCCGCGGCTCTGAGGGGGTCGCGACTCTGACGGGTGGGCGTGGGTCGGAGGTCGCAGCTCTGGGGGGGTCGCGATTCTGAGGGGTGGGTGGGGGCCGCACCGAGCTGGGGGTCGAGATTCTCAGGGGGTCGCGGCTCTGGGGTGGGCGGGAGTCACGGCTCTGAGGGGTTCGCGGCTCTGGGGGGTTCGCGGCACTGAGGGAGTCGAGGTTCTGAGGGGGTCGCGGCTCTGAGTGGGGTGGGCGGGAGTCAGGGGTCGCGGCTGTGAGGGGTTCGCAGCTCTGAAGGGCTCGCGACTCAGAGGGCCGCGGCTCTGAGGGGGCCGCACCGAGCTGGGGATCGAGGTTCTGAAGAGGCCGCGGCTCTGAGGGGGCCCCGGCTCTGGGGTGGGAAGGGGTCGGGGGCCGCGGCTCTGAGGAGGCCACGCCGGGCCGGGGGTCGCGGCCGCTGCGGGGTCGGGCCCGAGGTCGCGACTTTGAGGCGGGCGGGGGTCGCGGCCTCGGGAAGGGTCTGCCCGTGGAGCCCCCGCCGCTCCGTGTTCCTCGGAGGCCCCGGGACGGTTCGCACCCCCGGTCCTGTGCGGACGGGACCCCGCGGGGTTTGGCACATCCCCGGTGTCACGAGTGGGCTCCGGGGTCTCACTCGCCATAGGGTACAGCGGTTTTTGTGAATTTGTGTTATTTTTGCCTAATTTGCCAGCACTGCCACCGCATCGGGGAGGGGAAGCAGGTTCACACATCTGGGGAATAGCTCAGTTCCTAAAATCTGAGCTGCTCAGGAAGGATATATGAGGCTCGTATCCCACTCTGTGTGGATATCTGGGATTTGTATCCCCCTCGGGTTGCATGTATGGGATTTATAACCCCCTTGGGGTGGATAGATGGGATTTATATTTCCCTCTAGTTGGATATATGTAATTTAGCTCTCCCCAGGTGGATTGATGGGATTTATATCCCTATGGAAATTCTTTTCCTATTTAAAATTAATAATGAATGAATGTTTCTCTATTGAAGCTTTTCTCCTGGAAAATGATCCTGTGAGCCACTGATATCCCTCATGCCCAGGCGGGACAATTGTGGGACAAGCAGTTGTAAATATTTACATATTGACTCTTTTAACTTTGGAGACACAAATAACCGGAAACATTTTGGCAGCGTGGTGACAGAATTAAAAAAACACCAAAACCAACCCAACATGGGAATCTCGGGTTTGTTCCAACTTTATGTAAACTCCATGGAGAAAATATTTCCCTGGGATGGTTTGATAACGAGCTGCTGGAAAACAGCAGAGACCTGGAGAGCTTTCTGCTCGCTTCCTACCAGGAGGTAACTGGGAAAGGTTCTCACAACTGCAGGGAAAATCCTCTTTGTGTTAAAGCTGCTTATCCCAGGGGTTTGCCAGGAGGGCTGGGTGGCTGCTCATGGAGCCACCACCACTCTCTGAGTGGAGGGAAAAGGGTAAATCTAGGAAAAGAACTCGTGAAAGAGCCAGGAGGATGGTGTCACTTTGGGATTGAAGAGGTTTGGGTGAATATTTCCAGCTTTGGGAGCAGGGAGGACGTGTCCAGCTGTCCATCCGTGGTGTGTTTGGCCATTGCTGTCCCAAAACATCACTAGAAGGTGAAGGTTTGGTTTGAGGATTTGCTCTGGAAGGGAATTATTCAATTTATATTTAGGTCGGGTTACAACAAACTGCTTTATTTTCTGTATCTGCATTAGAAGGATGCTTTGTAGAAATAAACTCATAACCTTCATCCACATCTTTTATTTTCCTTTAATGGCTTTTCTACTCCACTCCAGGGTTGGAAATCTCACTGCTGTGTGATCCTGAACCATTTTCCGGGGCGTTCTTGGCTTTTCTCGATCCACCTTGATGGCAGCACAAAGCCAGGAGGTGGCACTGCCAGGCAGCGAGGCCGGTCCCGCTCTGAACCCGCCTCCAGCCTTTGTAAATAACAAAAGTTTTCTTCTTTGTACCTGCCCTGGAGGCTCGGGAGATTCCCCCGGGAGCTGGGAGGGCTCAGGAGGAATCCGAGGGCTCTGGGGATTTGTGACCACCACGAGTCTCCTTCAGCATCCCTTGACTCAGCCTCTTTTGTCCCGGGTACACCTGGGCCAATTTTCCATCTCTCCTCCCTGTTAACTCTTCCAAGGAAAATCAAGGCACCGAGTGTGGGATTGCAGTTTTCTCTTCCCCAAAAACGAATGTAACTCTGATTTCCTGACCAAAACCACACATTGCTGTGATGGCTTGCTCTCCATGGTGGGGTTGGAGGTTTTCTGGTCCAGCTTCTCCCAGATATTGTGGGTGTTTGTGGAAAATAAGCAGTTCTGGAAGAAACAAAGTTGGAAGCTCCTGGGTTTAGAGGCTCAAAAAAATCCTTTTGATGGGACAAGCACTGCACGTATTGTTTGCATTTGTTATTCCAGTTCTGGATTATTTGCCATGAGACACCATGCACCAGGTGTTGGGGGTTTATTGGCAGAGGTTCTTATTTACAGCAGAATCCGAGGAAACAGGAAAGGCCTGAAGGATTGCTGAGCTGCTCTCACCAAATCCTTCAGCCACAAAATCTCAGCAGTTCCAGAGCAGAGACAACACCTCGTGGAGAGGATTTATTTCATCATCAACACCTGGCAGTGTCCTGGTCCCCATCCCAGCCACAAGGTCTGGAATGAAGGAGAAAGGTGAGCAGAGAGTGGTGGGACAGGGCTTGGAGCGTTCCTGGGATGTGGGAGAGCTCCAGTGGGGAAAGCTTGGCCAGGTGGGATGGAGCCTTGCAGGAACCTCATCAGGAAGGTGTCACCAGCTGCTCTGGGAGGTTCATCCCAACCCAAACCATCCCAGGGATTTATGGAGCAGGGTGGAGGAGCCTGGTTGCTCACAGCAGTGAAGGTCCCACTGAGTGCCAAGGTCACTGGGAAAACGCCCTGGAAAGCCTCTCCAGGCCATCACTGGGGTCACAGCTGGATGGGCTCTTATCTGCCTGGAAGGGCTTCTTATCTTCCCATTGTTTTGGAAAGTTGCTGCTTCAGAAAGAATTGCATTCCCCTGGGTTAAAGGACACACTTGGACTGTTGAAATCCCAGAGCACCTTTGGAGGACGAGTCTGGGGGTCATAGCAGGAGAGCCAGGAAGCTGAGGAGGATGATGAGGGTGAGGTGGCCCTGCAGGGACGATCCCAATGACTCCTGATGAAAATCCTGGTGAGCCAAGGAAAAGAAATCAGTCAGAAAGTCCCATGTGCTAAAAGCCTGTGGCAGTGCTGACAGGCACCCACCTGAGTGTCCTTGGCACCCCTTGGAGTGTCCTTGGCACCCCTTGGAGTGTCCTTGGCATCCCCTTGAGTGTCCTTGGCACCCCTTGGAGTGTCCTTGGCATCCCTTGGAGTGTCCTTGGCATCCCCTTGTGTGTCCTTGGCACCCCTTGGAGTGTCCTTGGCATCCCCTGGAGCATTTGTGTCTGGTAATCCTGAAAGCTCAATGGTGTCATTCCATTCTGGAAAAAGCTTGTCATAATCTATGTCTCCAGTGGTGTTTATCTGCATGTGGAGAAAAAGAAATAACCTGAAATATCACAGCATAGGATTAACTCCTAAGAGAGAGATCCCTCCTTGGGATGGTTTGATGGTGTTTAATTGAGAAAACAAGGAATTTCCCATTGGAGCATTAAATAAATCCCAACTCAAACCATCCCATGATTGCTGTTCATGGACACTCTACTCCAACTCACTTGATTTATTCTGTCATCTAAAAATCAGCAGCTTTAATCCATTTATTCATCCTTGTGGCAGAGATTTGGGTGAGGAAAATCTGGTTTTTAGGGGAATACCAACTCACCTCATATGAATCAAACTCGTACACGTACGTGGCAGGGGTTGCTGTGGCATTGTCATAGTAATAATCTTCTGTGGAATAATAGTAATCACCTGGAATGGAAACAGCTCCAGGTGAGCTGGCACTATGGGGATTGGGGACTCCTGTCCAGTATGGGCTGTGAGTCCCTCCCCCATGTCCTGGGTTGTGACCACCCAGCTTTCCCCCCCTGTGTAACTCAAATTAATCTGGACAACTCAGATAAATCCCTTCCCAGCCCTGGTTATCCCAACTCTCTCTTGTGGTTTATGGAAAATGGTAAAAAATATTAAAAAAAAAAAAAAAAAGGCATTTCTCACTTAAATGAGTCATGTATTCAAATAAATCCGGGGTGATCTCCTCCTCATCCTCGACCTCCGCCTTCCCTGAAAGCAAAGGAACAACCAAGGGATCACCACGAGCCTGTGGGGTCATGGGAAGCTTCATTGGTTTATTGGTGCTTTGGGCAAAACCCCTTTCCTGTGGGACTGACGCACAATTAGATCCCAGCTAAAGGTGTGGGAGGTCAGAGCTGGGGTTTTTATTCATTTTTAGGTGTGGATGTGGTGGAAGTGAGAGATGCAGTGGTGGGGATGGAGCCAGAGCTGGGCTGGATCTCCCCTGGGATCAGCCCCTCATCCAGGATCCAGCTGTTCCCCTGGGATCAGCCCCTCATCCCGGATCCAGCTGTTCCCCTGGGATGAGCTTCTCATCCAGGATCCAGCTGTTCCCCTGGGATCAGCCCCTCATCCAGGATCCAGCTGTTCCCCTGGGATGAACTTCTCATCCAGGATCCAGCTGTTCCCCGGGATCAGCCTCTCATCCCGGATCCAGCTGTTCCCCTGGGATGAGCTTCTCATCCAGGATCCAGCTGTTCCCCTGGGATCAGCCCCTCATCCCGGATCCAGCTGTTCCCCTGGGATGAGCTTCTCATCCAGGATCCAGCTGTTCCCCTGGGATCAGCCCCTCATCCCGGATCCAGCTGTTCCCCTGGGATGAGCTTCTCATCCAGGATCCAGCTGTTCCCCTGGGATCAGCCCCTCATCCCGGATCCAGCTGTTCCCCTGGGATGAGCTTCTCATCCAGGATCCAGCTGTTCCCCTGGGATCAGCCCCTCTCCAGCTGCTCCAGTGCCTTTGCCTGCAAGGCCTCACAAGGGACCCTGATGTTTTCTTAGGGCTGAGGCACCATAAATAAATTCTGACCCATGTGACATTGTCACAGTTGGAGGGAGTGGCTCATTCCCTATTCCAAACATAAAGTTCTGTGTGTTTTCTTGGGGTTTTGGGAGGATTTTTTAAAGGAAATTAACTGGGAATATTAATGTTCTAATATATATTTTGATACTCATGGGAATGGCGGATATGGAATAATAAGATATTTTTATAGTTTGATACTCATAGTCACAAATAAGACAATTATAATATTGTCATTTTAAGTGACACCATCAATAGCTGGAGTGATGCTGTCAGTCATGCCCAGGGCCAGCTGTAGCTCCAGATCCCTCTCCAAACCCTCCCATTTCTTCCTCTCATATCCTTGATTTTCTCAGCGCTGGCAAAGCCTGAGGGGAAAGCCCAGATCCCAAAATCTAAACTTCCCAAATCCCAAATCCTCATTAGGGAATTCTCTGAAAACGCTGCCTGAGGCTGAACATTCCAGGCTGGGACTGGAGCTCTGAGCAGGGACACAGCACAGCCTCACACCTTGACCTGTCCCACTCCCCCCTGAGCTTTTGGGGAAATTTGGGCTGAAATTGGGACCTGGCCCCCATCCTGCTCCTTCCCACGCTGCTTTGGCAGGACTCCAGCAGCCTTGAGCTCTGCAGGAGCTTTCCCAGAAAGTCACTTCTTATATACACTGCAGTCCCACAAGAATAACAGAGAATAAAAGAGTTTCCAGCTGGGAATCCCCTCGCTGGTGTTTCGTGTTTAAATCTGTTCCTTCGGTGAAAATACAAAAGAAAGGGGAAGAGCTGCAGTTTCCAGTTCCCCTCAGCTGGTGCTGCTCTGTGTCTCACCTTCCCAGAGATGGGGGAACTTTGTGCTCATCCCTAAGCAGCTCCAGGTTGGGGTTTTCCACCCTCAATTCCCTGATTCTGCTCTTCGCCGTCTCAAAGCGCCCACAGAACTCTCAGGAAATCCTGTTGGGGTTTTTTCTCTGTGTCTCCTAATAGCTCCCAGCTGGGGTTTGCAAAGGGTTTGAACACAATGCGTGGAAAGTTCACTATCCCACTGTTCTCCAAGCAGAGGTTTTATGGAATTTTCAGTAATTACATCGGCTTTTTTCCCTTTCTCCAAGAAAATCCCCCCCAAGATCTTTCAGCCTCCAGATTCCCCCCTCAACTGCCCCGCAGCATCCCAGGAGTGTGAGATAATAACAATACATTATTAATAATATAATTAAATAATCAAGCAGCGAGCTAAAAATCAAACCGCCCTTAGAAAACCCTGGGAAAACTCGTGGAATTCTGATTTACCCGGCAAGGACTGAAGGACCAGGAGCACCGCGATGCAGAAATTCATCGTCCTCCGCTGGGTGCCGGCTGCGGGAGCGGCTCCGCTCCTGCTCCGCGGCACTTTCGGTCCCCGAGAAGGCAGGAAATGACTCGGGGGGGCTGAGCCGAGCAAAGCTCCTCGGTACCGTGGGAGGGAACCCGTTCGTGCCGAAAAAACCTCCCCGGGTTGTGCCGAGCAGCCCCGGGCTGAGCGCTGAGCGCGAACCGTGCGCTGGGAAGTTTCCCAGTTTCCCTCTTGCAGAGGCGTTTTCGGACCGCTGAATCGCAAATCTAGGGAAGTTTTCCCCCAGGGAGGGTCAGTGCCGCTGGATGAGTTCTCATATGGAGACAGGATGGTTTTGATTATGTTCTAACGGAGCAGGGCTATAAATAGCGAATTCTTCAGGGAGAGAAGGCAGAGATGCTGACTGGGAGCCAGAGTGGCTCCCGACTTCCCGTAAAATCTTGGGGGATTTTTGTTGTCTTGGCTTCATTTCCCCTTCCCGTGCCTCAGTTTCTTCATCAGGAGGAAGAAACATGAACGGTCAAAGATTTATTTCATTTTATAGTGAGTTAAAACACCCTGGGGAGAAGGTGATAGCAGAGCTCCTGAGAGGAGTGGGAGGGATCCAGGTGGAAATGGGTGCAGACCAGGGGAGGAAGGAAAAGGGGAAGAGGAAGAGACAGAGCTGTAAAAACAATATTTTGGTGAGTCTTGAAGGTTAGAAAGCCAAGAAAGAGCAAGATGAGCCTTGCATAGTACAGGAGGATTTCTCATTTGGGGTGCAGGGCCATGGAATCATGGTTGGGAGTGGCCTCAAAGCTCATCTTATCTCCTGTTAACTTTAAACCAAAGATTTCTGTAGACTTTAAGGATTCTAATCAATGTTAAACCAAAATTCCCCAAAGCAGATTTTTTTTTCTACCAGAGCAAACCCAACTGAAGAATTTTTCCAGCACATCCCAAATCTGGTTCCAGCCCCGCTGTGCTCTGCAGAAGGAGCTTCCCCCATCTGTAGTGAGATGTTTGGCAAAGGGTTAAATGCCCAGGAATGCTGAGCAGGAAGTGAATCTCTTCAAATCCTCCTCCCCACAAGACCCTCCTCTCCCTCCTCCTCAAGAATAACAACGAAACTCAAAAAACCCCAACCCAAGCAGAAATCTGAACTCGGTGTGAAGAATCCCAGCAGGGCTGGGGTCAGCAGCTCAGCCAGGAGGCACTGGGGGAGCAGGGAAGGGTTAAAATATCCTGGGATTAAAGGAATGGGGAGGGAAGGGGCGAGGAGGATCCCTGAGGATGGTTCTGGCTTATCAGATGGGGTTGAATGGACAAACCCTTGGCGTGGGAGCTGGATTCTGTGGGATTTGCTGGCTCAGGGCTGGGAATGACTCCAGAACTGGCTGTGGTGGTCTAAGACTTGCAAAAATTGGGAAAACCTGGAGAATCTATGAAAAGAAAGGGGCCTGGATAAAATGTGCCATAAGGTACCAAAGGGGGAAACAGCTGCTCCTCCCTGGCTGGGAGCAGCTGGAACCTCCAGCAGCATCCTGCATCCCAGGTGCAGCTCTGGAATTGTGTTTCTGGATGGAAAAGGAAACTGTGCTGTTTTCCTCCTGTGGTTTTTTTTTTTTTCCTTTTTGCCTTTTTTCTTACTGATTCTTCACATCTGGCATCACAGAACAAACCCATCGCAGCCACAGAAAGGAGGCAGACCAAGGGGGCTTTTCCATCTCCCGTCCCAAAACCTTGTTCCCTATTCCCCCAAATCCCTATTTTGCTTTGTATTTCTACTTTTAGGTCTTTATTTTTGAGTTATGAAAAGATTTTTTTCGGCCAAAATTCAACACAACAACAGAGCAGCGAGGGAGGCACACCTTTCCTGAGGGAAAACTCAACGTGTTATCCAAACCAGAGGGAAAAAGGAAGGAAAAGGAGACAAAAAGAAGGAAGAAGGAGGCTACTGGTCCTTGCTGTGCTGAGGGGGCTCCATCCCAGGGATGCTCTGGGCACCCCGAGCCTGGTGCCGTGCAGGGGGGTCAGACCAAGGAGGAAGGTGCAGCTGAAGTCAGCAGGGCTCGGATGTGCTGTGTCATTTCCCAGCTTTAATAGGCGGAAGCGAAACAAGGAGGGAAATTAATCCAAGGCAGGCAGTGACTCTGATTCTCCCCTGAACAATGCCTCGTGCTCAGGAGATGGCATTCGCAGGATTCCTGCGGAAGAGGCTGCAGGGGACATTGTTTGGAGTTTCCTCGTAGGAGACGTGAAGATGGATGAAAAATCTTCATTTTTAGTGCCCAGCACTCCCCGTGGCACCATCAGTCCAGAGGGAGGTGGAATAATCTGGAGGGAGGGGCTTTGGAGCCATCCAGGCTGTTCTTGCTGGCTGACGGAATTTTTTAGTCTAAATAAAGTTTTCCTGCTCTTCCCAGCTCCTCTGTAAACAGCAGCAGCGTGGGGGTGGGGGACAGAACCGGAACGGGAGATGTGAGGGGCATGGAATAGGGAAAAATGTAAAGAGGGAAGGGAAGGGAAGGGAAGGGAAGGGAAGGGAAGGGAAGAGAAGAGAAGAGAAGAGAAGAGAAGAGAAGAGAAGAGAAGAGAAGAGAAGAGAAGAGAAGAGAAGAGAAGAGAAGAGAAGAGAAGAGAAGAGAAGAGAAGAGAAGAGAAGAGAGAATCCTGGGCACAGGTGTCCTTGCAGATAGATGACCCTGCGGACAGGTGACCCTTCAGGTGACCCTGCGGACATGTAACCCCGGGCCCAGGCCGTGCCAGATGTCCCTTTGTGTCCCCCCTGTCCCTTTGTGTCCCCCCTGTCCCCTTGTGTCCCCCCTGTCCCGGGACTGGTCCTACCCCCCCATGGCCCTGTCGGGTCCTCCGGGCCGCCAGGGGGCGCTGTCGGTGCCGCCATGGCCGCCGCGGTGCTGCTGGGCTGCGCCGCCATCGCGCTCGGGCCCGCGGCCGCGCTCGTGCTGCTCACGGTGGCGGCGGAGCCGCTGCTCCTCATCGTGCTGCTGGCGGGGTGAGCGGGACCGGGGGCTGAGGGGGCCGTGGCGGGGTCTGTGAGGCCCTTGAGGGTGCTCTGGGACGGCTCCGGGGATCACCGGGGGACACCGGGGCTGGTGGTGCCGGGGGCGGCTGAGGGAGCTGTGGCGGAGTGAGGAGCCCTGAGGCGAGGGGGCGGCTCAGGGGAGATTGGGAGCAGCGCTGAGGCCGCTGCGGGTCCCGGTACCGAGCGGCTCGGTCTGGTGCCGGTGCCCTCGGTGCCATACCGGCCATCACCGGGGGAGTCCGGGGCTGCTGCCCGGGGCGGCTGAGGGAGGTGTCGGCGGAGTGAGGAGCCCTGAGGCGCGGGGGCAGCTCAGGAGCGATTTGGAGCAGCGCTGAGGCCGCTGCGGGTCCCGGTGCCCGCGGTGCCATCCCGGTGTCCCGTTTGTCCCCAGGGCGTTTTTCTGGCTGCTGTCGCTGCTGGCCGCCTCGCTGCTCTGGTCCGTGTGGGTGCAGCTCAGCGGGCGGGAGGACGCGGCGCTGCTGCCGCTCGGAGCCGCCGCCGCGGTGCTGCTGCAGGAGCTCTGCCGCTTCGCCTGCTTCAAAATGCTCAAGTGAGAGCAGCCCGGGGCTGGACCGGGGGCTGTACCGGGGCTGGGGTGTCCCCGGGCTTGGGGGAGCCAGAGCAGATTTGGGACTCTGCGTCCTGAGGAACCCCACAAAGTGTTTTCCTTGTTAAACCCCGGGAAGGAGCCGAGCATCTCCTCGGGATGGGGCTCATGATCTCCCTGACATGGGGCTCACACTGTCCCCGAGATGGGGCTCTCTCAGATGGGCTCATACTCTCTGGGATGGGGCTCATGCTCTCCCTTCCCCTCTCCCTGAGATGGGGCTCTCTCAGATGAGGCTCTCCCTGGGTTGGAGCTCACTCTCTCCCTTCCCCTCTCCCTCTATTGGGGCTCACTCTCTCCCTGGATCGGGTCTCACTCTCTCTCTCTGACGGTGCAGGAAGGCCGATGCAGGGCTGGCCACCCTCAGCAAGGACGGGCGCTCCCCGCTCTCCCTGCGGCGCACGGCTTACGGTGAGCAGAGCCCTGGGTGCTCCATCCACCTCTCCTGCCCCTCCCTGACCCCACTGGAGCTCTGGAGGCTCTCCTGACCCCGGTTCCCCCTCCACAGTGTCTGGGCTCTCCTTTGGCATCATCAGTGGCCTCTTCTCCATCACCAACATCCTGGCAGACTCTGCAGGGCCGGGCACTGTTGGGATCCATGGGGACTCCCCGTACTTCTTCATCACCTCTGGTGAGGCTGGAGCCATGGCACAGAGGAGGAAGAGGAGGAGAAGGAAGGCTCTGAGGCTCTGTGTGTCTCCCCACAGCCTTCCTCACCATGGCCTTGGTTCTGCTCCACACCTTTTGGGGCATCATCTTCTTCGACGCCTGTGAGCGGCGCCGCGCCGGGGGCCTGGGGCTGGTGGTGGGCAGCCACCTGCTCACCTCGGGGCTGGTGAGTCCTGGGGGGCACAGGAACCCCCACCCACTGCCTGGGGCTGTGGGGGGAGTTACACCCCCGGGCACCCCCAGCTCCTTGGGGATGTGAAGGATTTGGGGGCCACACGGGGGATTTGGGGGCACACAGCTCAGCAGGGATTTGAGTCAGGTTTCCACCTTGGAGGGCTCAGGAGGGTGTGACCTCTCTCTGTGTCCCCAGACCTTCCTGAACCCGTGGTACGAGGCCAGCCTGGGCCCCATCCTCATCCTCACGCTCTGCACTGGCCTCTGGGCCTTCAGCACCGCTGGTGGCTCCTTCCACAACGTCCTCAAGTGCCTCTCATGTAAGGGGGAGTGGGGTGTCACTTTTGGGGGCTGCTGGGATGGGGCTGGATGAGTCTTGTTGAATGGGGGCTGGCACAAACCCCTAAATCACCCCCAAATTCACAAATGCCCCTTTTCCCCCAGGTAAGCAGGAGCCTGAGGGCCAGGCCAGGCTCTACTCGGCGCTGCAGGTGCCTCCTGAGGGCTGAGGGAGCCGTGGCCCCACAGCCAGACCCTCCTGTGAAAGCTTTCACCCCTCCTGCTCCAGGGGAATTTGTGTCTGCCCAGTGCCTGGGGGCCTTTGGGGTCTGACTGGTGCTCCTGGGGAATTTGGGGTCTGACCACCACCCTCTTCCCTTTGTTCCCAGATTCTCTAAACTCCTTTCCCTCAGTTTGAGCCTCTGGGGAAGGCCGGGGTGGGCCAGATGCCCTGGGGGGAGTCAGGGCAGGACCCCCCCATTTCCCTGTGTTTGTCACTTTGGGGGTGTCCCCACCCCTGGTGATGCTCTGGGTGTGGGGGACACCAGGACTGGGATGCTCTGCCCTTCTCACCCCGTTCAGTCCCAGGGGGGTAAATTATTTTTTTGATGAAGAGTAAAACCCTTTTACACAAACACTGCATACTGTGGCTGCTGGGGAGAAGGGGAGGGAGGAGAAGGGGTCGCTCCCCTCATTGTGCTCTGCTCCAGCCCTGGGGGGCACCTGGGGTGTTTTGGTTTCTTGGGGGTGACAGAATCCAGCCCAAAGCCCCTCAAAGGCGCCGCTTCCCTCCTCACAAAGAGCCACCAGGAGGGGGGAAAGGGCTTTATTTGCCTTGGGGCTGGGGGATGGCCTGGGCAGCTCCTCCCAGCCCAGCCCAGCCCGGCCCAGCCCGGGTCAGGGCTCAGCGGGAGTGGGCGAGCTCCGGGGGGAGGATTTGAACACCACGTCCTGTGCCTGCTCCCTCCTCGCCCTGCAGGGGTAAAAACCAGCATGAGGGGGGGGTCTCTGCACAGAGCTCGGGGTCCCTCCAGGTCTGGGGGTCCCTCTGAGGGCTCTGGGGGGGTCTCACCGCATCCTCTTGGCCCCAAAGTGGACGGCGAGGAAGAGGCCGGCGCAGCAGGCGATGGTGCCCAAGATGATGGCGATGATTCCACCTGTGTGACACCCAGAGGGCTCAGGGGGGTCCCGTGTGACCCCCCCAGCCCAACATCCCACCTGGAATACCTGTGGAATATCCCTGTGGCCCTGCAAGGGAAAAACCGGGCTCAGGGCCAGCTCCTGGGGCTCCAGGAGCCGCCTGAGGGGTGCAGGGACCCTTCCCACCCCTCCGCTCACCCCTGAAGGACGAGAGCACCGAGCGCGCGTTCAGCTCCTGCGGGGCTCGGAAATTGTTCACCAGGAGCTGCGGCTCCTCCTCCTCCTTCGTGCAGTACAGGCTCCCCTGGAGCTGCTCCAGCTGGAAGGGAAGGAGAAAGGAAAGGGAGAAGGAAAAGGGGATGGGATGGGAAAGGAAGGGAAGGGAAGGGAAGGGAAGGGAAGGGAAGGGAAGGGAAGGGAAGGGAAGGGGAAAGAAAGGAGAAGGAAAGGAGAAGGAAAGGGGGAAAGGACAGGAAAGGAGAGAGAAGGAAGAAGGGAAAGGAGGGGAAAGGAAAAGGGAAAAGGGAAGAGAAAGAAAGGAAAGGAGAAAGAAAGGAGAGGAGAAAGAAAGGAGAGGAGAAGGAGAATGGGAGGAAAGGAAGGGAAAGGAAAGGAAAAGGAAAAGGGAAAGGAGCAGCACTGGGGGGGCTCTTCCCCCAAACGCGGGGGTCTCCCCGCAGAGCGGCTCCTACCTGGGCGCGGCTGATGCGCACGGGCTGCGGGAGGAGGTTCCAGAGGACGCTCTGCGAGCAGGGCGGGGTGGTCAGGGAGCCGTTGTAGCGGTAGTAGCGCTCCAGCCGCTCGGGCAGCAGCTCCCGGATGCTGAACGAAGGGATGGCCACCGTCTGCCCTGGTGGGGGGAGCGATTTGGGGCGTGCTGGGAGGGGGATTTGGGGTTCCGCCCTCCCTCTCCTCACCTGCGTGGCGGATGCTGCCGAGATGCCTCAGGATGTTGTCATAGGCGGGGTGGGGGTTGTCTCCGAGCTGGGGAGTGAGGAGGGGTCAGTGAGGGGCTGGAAAGCGCGGGTGGGTGGGTGGGGGGCGTGGGTGGGGTCCGTACCTCCAGCAGGACGCCGAGCACGGCCAGCCCGCCCGGCTGCTGCTGAGCCGCGCTGGCATCGGCGAAACGCTCGGTGTCAAAGTGCACCACGTGCATCTGCGGCATGGGAGGGACCCCTGAGCCCCCCACACTGATACCCCAACCCCCTGAGCCACCCTGAGCCCCCCACACTGATACCCCAACCCCCTGAGCCACCCTGAGACCCCCACACTGATACCCCAACCCCTATGAGCCCCCCTCACCCTGCCAACCCAACCCTCCCGAGCCCCCCACACTGATACCCCAACCCCCTGAGCCCCCCCATCCTGACACCCCAACCCCCTGAGCCACCCCAACCTCTCTGAGCCCCCCACCCGGCCACCCCAGCCCCTGTCCCGGCTCCCACCCCGCAGTGCCCGGACCTGCTCCCATTCCCGTTTCCCATCCTTTTTTTCTGCCCCCCATCCCCTCCCCGCGCTCATTTCACATCCCCGCACCCATTTCCCTCCCCAGGACCCCTTTTCCATTCCCTGCTGTGCAAACCCATTTTCCACGCTGTTCCCACACTGCCACCCCTCCCCACAACCACTTCCCACACAATTCCCACGCCGCTTCCCGACCCCAAACCTGCTCCGTCCTCCTTTCCCACCCCATTTCCCGCCCCCAGACCCATTTCTGGCGCTGTTCCCGGTACTCCCGGTACCTCGGCGGGGGCTCGGCGCCCGTCCAGCAGGTGCTCGGCTCCGGCGGCGCTCCCGGGCCGGCCCCAGTGGAAGTGGAGCTGAACGGCCGCGAAGGTTCGGGGCAGCCCCCGGAGCCGCAGGGACGGCGGCAGCGCCAGCACGGCTGTGGGACAGCGGGATCAGCGGGGCCGGGACACCGGGAACGGCCCGGTGCTCCCCCCGGTGCTGCCCCCGGTGCTCACCGGTGTGCCCGTTGTTGGCGAGGGTCAGCTGGGGGCTCTCGGGGCGCTCGTAGCCCTCGGGCAGCAGCGGCGGCAGGGACGGGTCGTGCCGTGCCCGCGATGTCGCGATATCGATGGGGGACTGAGCGCGGCCCCCGCACTCCGGGTGTGTCTCATGCCAGTGCTGCTGCCCGTGCGGACCTGGGGGGCACCGAAATCTCTGGGGACCCCCCCATCTTCATCCAGTGACCCCAAACGCCCTCGGTGCCCCCGAACCGGGACGCCGGTGACATTCCCTCGTTAATCTGTTGGGGACATTTTTTCCAGGCGGGAGAGCGGGGACAAAGCCGAGCCCGCGGGGCCGGGGGGGCACCCATGGGTCCCCCCGGGATGGGGCTTAGCGGGATTTGGCCAAGGCCGGATCCTAATTGGATTTGGCAGCAGGAACCTTATGTAAAGGAGCACAAAGGGACCATTGGAGCGAGGGGGGCAAAGGGGGGGCAGGAGGGGGAAAATGGGGGGCTGCACCCATTCACCCCCGCCTGGCATAAGGGACACAGGTGGGTGCTCATTTGGGGGAGCACAGATGTCTGGGGGGTACCCGGGGGGGATCTGCCCATCTCCTTCCCATTTGGGGGGTCCCAGATGTCTGGGGACATATTTGGGGGGGGCCAGGGGTGAGTAAAGGGGTGATCTGCCCATCTCCTTTCCATCTGGGGGGTCCCGGATGTCTGGGGACATGTTTGGGGGTACCCAGGGGGAGATCTGCCCATCTCCTTCCCATTTGGGGGACCCAAATCAAGGGGGGTTGTCACCCATCCACCTCCCCACCTTCTGGGGAGCTCCTCAGCTCATGGGGGGGATTTGGGGTGTGGGGATAAATGAGGGGTCCCTGAGCGGGGCCCTACTCACCCTCATACGTCCAGTGGGGACCTGCTGGGGAGAGTGGAGGATTTGGGGTGGGGGCTCGGCTGAGCCTCCTGGCCCCACATGGGGGCACCTGAGGGGGGCTGGGGGTGCACCCCAAGGTGGGATCTGTGGGGGGGGGGACTCACCAGCGGACAGGGCGGGGGCCAGGCCCCCCAGGAGCAGCAGCACCCTCAGCATGGCGGGGGGCAAGGGGGGCCGGGCACCACCGGGCCGGCCCTAAATACCCACCCGGGGGGACGGGCCCCCCCGGGGGGACGGGGAGGGCAGGAGGGGCCTCGCCCGGGGTGTCGGGGTGAGGGGAGCCTGGGGATGGGGCGACGAGCGATGCAAATGTGGGGTGAGGGGTTTGTAGGACTGGGATTTTGGGGCGAGCGGTTTGCAGTACTGGGTTTTGTGTGGTTAGGGGTTTAACGGATTGGGGTTTATGGGGCTCTGGGAGGCTCTGAGGGTTTGGGGGGGCCCTGGGCCTTGTGGAGGGTCGTGGGGAGGGGTCTCGGGGTCACCGTGAGCCTCCTGCGGGAAGAGCCGGGCTGGGGGCTCTGGATCTGGGAGAGATTTTGGGGGGAAGATTTTGGGGGGCTCGGGGGGAGCCCCGGGCAAACCCCGCACGCTCTCTCAGGCCACGCCCCTCTCTGGGAAGCCCCGCCCATCTGCTGGAAGCCCCGCCCCGCGGGCGTTCCCCGCGCTAGCAAGCGTGACGTCACAAGGGGCCTCCGCCCCCACGTGGGGGCCCACGCGCCGCCCCGCCCCGGTTATGTAACGGAAAGGGGCGGGGCCGCCACGCCCATTGGCCGAGCAGCTTCGCCGGGACCGCCGCCCATTGGCTGAGGGAACGGGGGCGGTGCCCGGCGCCGCGTGCCCCGAATCGCCGCGCAGAGGGGCGTGGCGAGAGCCCCGCCCTCCGGCCAATCAGCGCCGGGCTGTGGCAGCGAGCCAATAGTAAAAAAGGGGCGGAGCCTCCTCGGGGGCGGCGGCCAATGGGAGCGGGGCGGGGCGGGGCCCGGCCGGAGGCACGTGCGGCCGCGCACGTGTCCGCGTGGGGCCGCCGCGGGCGGGGCGGGACCGGCACCGGGACACAGAGACCGGGGCACCGGAACAGCGGCACCGGCACGGGGACACCGGCACGGGGACACCGCCGAACCTGCCCGGGGACACCGACAGCGGCCGCGAAACGGGGACAACGGTACCGGCAACGGGACACTGATACCGGAACGGTGATACCGGCACCGGGGCAGGGACGGGAACAGCGACACCGAGACAGGGACAGCGGCACCACCGCAGGTGCAGGCGGGAGCAGGTGGGACCCGGGGTGACCAGGGCTGGGGGGGAGGTCCTGGGGGTCCCATCACGGGTGGGGGCTCCTGCGGGGGGATCTCGGTCCTGGGGAGGGGGCGGCAGGGGATGGAGAGGGGGGAGCTGCTGGAGGGTTCCTATATTGGGGGGCAATGGGGCCTGGGGATGTCCCTGGGGCTGAGGGTGGTCCTGGAGGGTATTTTTGGGTCTGGGGGGTGTCCTGGGCTGCGGGTGTCGTGGGTGAAGGGTCCCAGTGCCACCTGGGTCCCTGCACCCCCACCCTGCACAGGAGATGCCCAATCTGCTCCCCGATGCGAGGCAGCACTGGGGCTGTGGGGATGACACCCCCACGGGAGAACAAGGCAGTTCTTTCCTCGTCTTCCATTTTTGTCCGATATCCCCCCGGTGTTTCCCTCCCTCCGTCCCCCAGGCAGCCTCGGCTGGAGCCGAACGCAGCGAGAGGCTCCCCTGGGGGGGCCAACCCCGCCATGGAGCCCCCTGCCCGTGCCTGCTCCTGCGGCTCCCCCGCCTCTGACAGCGGGGCCGAGGCCGAGAGCTCCCCCCGGAGCCCCCCCAAAGCCGAGCGGAGCCGCAAGCGCCCGGCGGGGCTGGAGCGGGGGAGCCCCGAATCGCCGCCGTCCCCGCGCGGGGGGAAGCGCCCGCGGAAAGGGGAGGGCGGGGATGTCCCTCCCAGCGATGGCGATCGACTCTTTGCCCAAAAGGTGAGGTTCTGCCACAAAAGGTGAGGTTCTGGCACAAAACAAAGCAGCACCCTAAAGATGGGAGGTGGGGGAGGTCTTGGTCCCATAAAAAAAGCTGGGCCTGCCTCAGTTTCCCCACCTGAAATGGGTGGGTGGGGAAACTGAGGCAGGATTTGGGGGTGAGGGGTACACGAGACCCCCTCCCCATTGTGGCTGCAGCAAAGTCACCTCCTCCTCCTCCTCCTCCTCCTCCTCCCTGTCCTGGCAGTGCCGGGAGCTCCGGGGCTTCATCCGGCCGCTGGCGGAGCTGCTGGAGGGGCTGCGGCGGGGCCGATACGACAGAGGTGGGTGCCCCCCACACCCTCATCCCCCTCCCCAGACCCCTCTTTCCCTTTGGGGAGAATTCACCCCATTTCGGGCCTCCCCAGGGCTGAGCAGCTTCCAGCAGAGCGTGGCCATGGACCGGCTCCAGCGGATCATTGGGGTGCTGCAGAAGCCAGAAATGGGGTGAGTGTTCCCGGTGTCCCCGTGGGGCGGGCACGGAGGTGTCCCCGCTCCGCAGAGCGTGACCGGAGTTCTCTCCCCGCAGTGCTCGCTACCTGGGGACGCTGCTGCAGGTGGAGGCCATGCTGCGCCTCTGGTTCCCCCACGTCGCTCCCAAACCCGCGCTGGACTCGGCTCCTCCCGCGGCTCCCCCGCGCCGCCGCCCTCCCGCCGGTGCTGCCGGGGCTCCCCGGTGCCGCCGCCTGCCCGGGGAGCTCCCGCTCGGCGGCCCCGCGGGGCCGTTCCAGCAGCGGGGACCCCCCGAGTCCCCCCCGGCGCCGGACGTGTGACGCCCCCCCCGGCTCGGGGGGGGTTGATCTCGTCTGCATTTCTTGGTTTTGCCTTTTTTTTCGATTTATTTTTTACCGGTGGTCAGTGAGACCCGCGGGCGGGCGGGACTGACCGGGGGAGGCACCGAACCCCCCCCAGAAGCCCCAACCGCGGGGCGGCCGCGTGCCTTGGCCGGAGCGGAGCCCCCTCCCCGCGGGGACCGGGCCCTCCCGGGCTTGTGCCTTCCCCCGGCGGCTGGGGGGGAACGTGGGGACCCCCCCGAGTGGGGAGGGCCCGGAGCCGGCCCTGCTGGAAGCAATAAACGCCGCGGGAGCGGCCGGGGCCAGCCGGTGTCGTGTCCTCTGTGCTCGGTGGGGCGGGGGGCGCGTTCCTATCCCGGGGGGGCTCAGAGCCGGTCCCGGTCCTTGGTGCCCCTCTGTCCCCTCCGCTGTGGGACCCGGAGAGGCCCCACGGGTCCCGGCTCTGCCCGCCGGAAGCCCCGGTATTACCGGAAATCCCTCCCAACGGAAATTCCGCCTTCAGCCGCTTCCGGTACCGGCGCGGAGCGGCCGCGGCTTCACCGGGGTCAGTCGGGATCGGGACCCTACCGGGAGTTGCCTGACCGGGGGCGGGGGGGTCCTTGCCGTGTCCCCTTCGGGCTCCTTTCGGTCCCTCGGTGTCCCCGGGAGCGGGGCGGGAAGCACCGGCCCCTCTCTGTACCCGGGGCGCGGGGAGGAGGGAGAGGCTCCCTCGAGCCCCGGGGCCGCCCGGTTCCACCGCCCCCATCCCGCAGCCATGGCGAACCACCTGCGCTTCGTGGGCCGCACGGTGATGGTGCAGAACGGGAACGTGGAGGCGGCGTACGGCGTCCTCAACAGGTGAGCACCGGGGGGAACTCCGGAGGGGCTGCAATTCCTTCATGCACCGAGTTCAGAAGAAGAATTTCTGGAGCAGAAAGTGACGGGAGGGTCGGACAGGGCTTTTCTCATCCGCTCGGCTCGGGTGGGAGCAGAGTGAAATAAAGGAATATTGCTCGGGAAGCGCAGGAGGAGGCTCTGTGCTCAAAGACCTTCCTAGATCCCACCTGAAATGGAGCTCGGGGGGTTCCGTCCCCTCCTCGCTCCCCTCATGGATGGACGGCGAGGAGAAGGCGTTGAGGGGCCCGCACGGTGACCGGGCCGAGGGCGCGCACCGGGACCGGGCCGTGCCCAGGACTGGCAGCGTGGGCTGGCTCATCCCGGCTCCTTCCCTGCTGCTGTCACCGCTGTCTCCTCTCCCCTCCGGCAGGATCCTGGTGCAGGACGGCGTGGCAGACGCGGTGCGGCGCTCCCGCTACTACGAGAAGCCGACCCGGGCGCGGCGGCGGCGGGCGTTCGAGGCGTGCCGCCGGGTGTACTGCGCCGAGATGGCGCGCAAGATCGCCTTCCTGGCCAGGAGCGCCCGCCAGGACCCGTGGCCGGGCTGCTGAGGAGGTCCGGCCCCAATAAAAACCCTTTGGCTCTGATTGTTTTAATTGAGTTTGGTTAATGAGGGCGTGAGGGGGAAAGGGCGTGGTCGATGGGCGGGGCGATGGGCGGGGCTGAGCTCGCGCCTCTCTGAGGTCCCGCCTTCCCGGCGGCCCCCGCGCGCCCCCGGCCGCGCACGCGCCGCGCGCGCGTTTCCGCTTCCGCCCCGACGCGCCGTCACCGTCAGGGGCCGCCGGGCCGGGACCGGGAGCGGCGTGAGGGAAAACGGCGCCGGTGAGGGAAACTGCGGGGCCTCGGAGGGCGTGCAGGGAACGGGGGGAGCGGGCGGGCTGGCGGGAAGGAGGGAGGGCGGGAGGCGGTGGCGGAGGTGGCCCCGGGCCCGGCGCGCCGCGCTGAGGGGGCCGGGCCGGGCCCCGGGCGGAGCTCCGCGGCACCGGGGGATGTCGGGCCCTGCGGGAGCGGGCTCGGTGGGAGCTCCGTGTCTCCTGAGCTCCGTCTGTCTGTCCGTGTGAGGCGGAACCCCGGCGGGGCTCGGCCGCGTTCATTGATCCCGGTGCCGGTACCGGGGTTGTGTCCCCTCCCCGCGGCGGCTCCGCTGTCCCGGTGTGACACGGGAACAGCCGGGAAGTGAAGCCGCTGCTCCCCCGGTGGAGGCTGACCCGGCTCTAATTACACGAATTTTGTGGTTTATTACGGACGCGCTCAGAGCTGTTGGTGTCTCGGGGCTGTGATTTGTGAGTCCTGCTCGCCCTCAGTCTCTGCAGGCTCAGAACGCGTGGGGGAAACACCGGGATCCGGCTTTGGGCTCTGTTTGAACCCGGCTGTGAGGAAACTGTGAGGAAAAGCAGAACCTGCGCGGTTTCCAGGCTCTGGAGGGAGCAGCAGTCACCTCCTGGAACTGCTC